CACTCCACATGCAGCCTCCCACCACCTGACTTGCACAGGACAGATGTCCCCAGGGGCTAGCACTGGCCACAGGAGGGAAAGGCTCCCGGCCTTTCTAGCTGCTGGATCAGCGCCCTGGGGAAGTGAGGGTCTGTGGGTACCTGGACTGCCTAGCCTGGAGGTGGGCATCCTGCAGGGTGGAAGCAGCGGCCCGGCTGGGACGCTGATGGGGAACATTTAAGGATGGGAGAGGGGAAGGGTGGATTGCATCATGGAGCGGGAGATGGGACCTTTTCATAGGCCTTTTGGAGATTAGTAACTCCACTGGACTTGGTGTGGAGACTGCGAATCCCAAGAAATGGGTGTACTGGTGGATGGCAGAGACCTACCTGCTGTGTTACAGCTTGCAGATGTCTTCATTCAGAGCCCACCTGCCACCAGTCTGCCTGCCGGCTCTCTTCCTGCATCTGGCAGGGGACTGAAATTTACAAGCGTCCTGCAGGGCTTTTAGAAATCTTTTTTAAACCTAAGATGATGTTTTAATAAAATCTGGCTGGATTCTTACAGATGTCAATGCGCTGGTGGCTCAGAAAACCAGAGCAGGCAAATGGAAGGACAGACAGAACAAACTGTTTGGGTGCATCCCTCTGTCAGTCATTCACACGTGTGTGTGCATGCAGGTACATGTACCAATGTGGAGGGCCAAGCAGCCCTCGGTTCCAGGGGTCACCCTGGTGTGGATGAGGTATACATTCATATGCACACATACATGTATATGTGTGTATGTATTTGCATACGTTTATTTGTGTTCCTTTTGACTTTTTTTCAAATTCCTTGCAACATCAGGGTATTATCCATGAGCCCTGGTGTCTTCTTCACAACCGGCAGAGGGGCCACTACCGAGTATTGGAAACTATGACTGAACTCTGTCCATCGTCATGGTGATAATTTCATATCTTTGTACAAGAAGTACTGCTGTAATGCTATAATGTGTAATGCTATATAATACCATCACCAGTCAGCCAAGGGCCTGGTAATCTAAGTAAGCAAGGTGAGGCAGGAGCTACATCAACCAGCTTTTAGACATGGCTTTGTGCCAGTGTCATTAAAGTTGGGTTGGTGATGACCTATACCACTTTTGCTGGGAGACAGTGGGTTTCTGGACCAGCATACGGGGTGATGGTTCCTCCCAGATTCTGTTTTGCTGTGGTCACCCAACCTGATCCCTGACCAGAAATGTTTCCTGAGCTCTGATCTCTTTCAGTTCTATCTCCTGAGGCATCATTTAAGCACTTATCTTGCTGCTAACCAAGGAGGCACAGAGTAGCCATGATGATACACCCTGCTGGGACCCAGCCTGTATCTCTAAGCAGCACATATCTACTCCAAAGCAACAGTGAGAACATGCCAGCCAAGAGGAACAAGCCACCCAACTTGCAGCTCCAGGAACAGCATTCCTTTCCTAAAGGTCCCTCTGTTCAGCTGCTTGAAGAGACACTACAGAGCAGCCCCATTCTGACACATCGCCCCCACAGCAAGGGTCTGGGCTGAGCTGGTTGCCTAAGCTTCATTGATGGAGAAGAATTGTCACCTCTAGCCGGCAATTGATGCTACAGGTATTGGGTAGTGGTTTAGGATGAGAGTTTCCACCTCAGAGCCTCCAGTGACTACTTTGGGAGGTTTCCAAAGGCCAGAGACAGGCAGAGTAAAGCCTCTTCCAGTGCTAAACAGACTTTGCTTGTTAATAGACAGATTTGCATTTGCTGGAGATCAGGATCTGAATCTGCTGTATGATCACAAAATGAACACAGTTAGGTAGGGGAGTGGGTGGGTGGGGAACCAAAAGAAGACATGAGCTTATATAGGAAGGTGGGGTAAAAGAGGTGTATTATCTGTGGGAATGAGCACAGAGTCATACCAGTAAAGAAAATACATCCACAAGATGGGGATGGCTTGCAGCGCACCCCACACAGGTTTTGAGTTCGGAAAGAGGATGATCTGCCAGCAAAGGCTCAGGCCCTGTGACTCCCATCCAGCAGCTGCGATGTGACCGCGGGGGCAGAGCCTGGCTGGGCCACTGTGGTTCACTGCGCCAGCCCTGTGGGGAAAACAAAGGGTGTATCCACTACGGGGGTTCTTCCTCATCATTGCCCTGGGAGATAAGAGCCTTTGTTACCTGATGGAAGCTTTAACAAGAGGGCCGGAGAGAGCTGGAGTGCACAACCATCTGATCTTAATGGGAGTTTTATAGTAAACTTGGAAGCCAGGGACTTACAGTGCTTTTATCTGGCATGAATCATCAGTGCTATATGAGGTATCAGCTTATCTAATGAAACTGTACTCTACTGGTGGGATTTTCCTTTATCATGATGCATGTCTGCTCCCACCATCAGTATGTTGTCAGATTATGCCAGCAAAATCCATTTTACTTTTTAATAATTGCTCGAACGTTTATTTTATTTTACTGAGTTGGGTTATCATTAGAGCTGACATCTTATCTCCCTCCCTGATCGTGTAAGGATTTGTGTCAGGAGTATATGCTCTCCAGCGTGACATCTCCATGCTAATCTTGTGGCGCAGTGGCTGCAAGGGTTTTCCTTTTCCCTTTCTTGCTGCCCTCCCCTGCTTGTCCAACTGAATGCAGTGGAGTCACTCATTTGGGAGAATGTGCCGCAGCTGCCCGTGCCCGGTGTTGCCGGAGCCAGTGTACCACGTGCAGTGGCAATGTCTGAACACCTGACCAGTTCCTCCAGTGGCACCAGTACGAGGAAAATGAGGACTCCCAGATAAGATTTATTTACAAACCACAATACACAATGTGGTGAAAGTGTGGTTTTATCAATACACAAAAATGCACAGAGCACCTATACACTGTCTCCTTAGCTGTGTGACTTCAGATTCAAAGTCTTTGCTATAAATGTGCAGAAGTCTTTTCCTGGAGTGCCTTGGCTTGTCACCACCCTTCTGGGCCACTGGCTCCAGCCACAGGCACACAGTGGTCTCAGGACCTGCTCAGCAAATGCATCCCATGCACGGTCTAAGACGTCTCAAAAAAGTCACTGCTCAGTGGCAAAAGATTGTGACAACATGATCTGGGCAAGGACAAGGGAACGTGTGCTTCCCTTCATGCAGCTGGCAGTCAGCTCCAGTGCGACAAAGCCAGCCTCTCACCCCAGACCTGAGGATATTTTGCTTGTAGACTCAGCCCTACTCCTTTGAATCGCGTCACTTGCACAGTTTGGTGACAAAATCCTTTTGCACCATACGAGCTATTGGCAGCCCAGCTCTACGTGCCTGTTCGCTTCACAGGTCACAGGCCACCGGGGCAAGAAACTTGCTGTCTCTTGGAAAGGTGATGGCTCCTCAGTCCCTCTGGAGGCAAGGTCACTGTCAGTGCTGTGTTCTTGCATCTTACAGGTGTCCTCTGCAGCGGGATGCAGCTCAGAGCCACAGGGTCCCTGAGGCTGGAGGCACCTCCAGAAGTCACCTTGTCCAACCCCTGCTCAAACCAGGGTCATGTAGAGCCAGTTGCCCGGGGCCGTGTCCAGCTGGGATTGGGATATC